GTATGCATTTTATCTAAAAGCCCAAAATGGGATGTAAATTCAATGTTCAAAGTTATAACCACCTATAGAGTGATAACCAAGAGGAGTTAGGTACAGATCCTAAGGTGACCTAGTTAATTCATTCTCCAATCTCCAGTATTGACCCTTTGTTCACATTTCCAGGCACTTTGCTTACAGTAAATTTGTCAGTTAAAACAAAAGCCATTTCTTCCAAATTACCCTTTCATAATATTCAAATTCATCAACTCTACAAGATTCCCCAAATTCCATGCCTATTTCTCACTTAAAGCTGTACAACAACTTGTACCAATTATATTATTCCAATAGGCAATGTTTTAAAGCAATTATGAATTTTGAGTTATAAAAATGCAAACCATATAAAGCATAAAAGCCCACATATTCTATTTGTCAGAGTAACATACTTTTTGAGACCAATTCTATGGCATGTGTATGAACTTTGGTTTCATCTTACCCAGCTAAGTTCGAGTTAATTAATTTTAATGGCCATTTGACCCCTCCATAGCAGGTCTTGTTCTATCTACTGTTGTTGTTTACATTTAGGACAAGTTCAGGACAGGTTGCTTTGACCTCCCAGTACAGTACATTGTTTCAACTTCATGAATACATTCAGATGAGATAATTCATCTTATAATCAACAATGATTCCACATTAAAGTTACAGCACCAACTGTTTTAATCTTAACATCGATAGTCAGTCACATTTTTGCATATAGCGTTTTATGAACATTTAATTCAGTCACCTTTAAAAGGGGGCAGCACAAGTCAGACCATACAATACTTCAGTTAGTGGCTCAGAAGGTATCACAACACAAATATCTAAATTTACAGTGAGATTTATATAAAAACGACACCCGGTCCTAGTTACGCTACCATTCAATTATAGTTACATCATCTATACGGGACGGAGGTCGTTTCAGTATATATAAGTACACTGAGATGCAGAAACTATGATTTTATGGCCTATAGTAGGGTTTAGGGGTCAAGGATTTCATTTAAGCCAAAATCTAAGTCATCAAGCAATTACTTCTTAGAGAAATCCAAGATGGCCACCAAAATGGGTGCCAAAACGAATAGCGGTATGTAACCATTGATTTAAGCTCAAATAAGAACAGTGATTTTGGATATCATGTCACAGTTCTCGAGTCAAGGATCTCATTTATGTCTAAATCAGAGTCATCAAATAATTAACTTTTCATAGAAATACAAGATGGCCACCAAAATGGATGCCAAAATGATTACCAGTTTGTAACCATTGATTTAAGCTCGAGTTAAAACAGTGATTTTGGAGATCATGTCACAGTTCTAGAGTCAAGGATTTCATTTATGTTTAAATTGGAGTCATCAAATAATTACCTTTTCATAGAAATACAAGATGGCCACCAAAATGGGTGCCAAAATGAATATGTAACTATTGATTTAAGCTCAAAGAACAGTGATTTTGGAGATCATGTCTTTGTTTTAAGGGTCAAGGATTTCATTTATGTCTAAATCTAAGTCATCAAACAATTACTTTTTATAGAAATCCAAGATGGCCACCAAAATGGGTGCCAAAATGAATATGTAACTATTGATTTAAGCTAAAAAAACAGTTAAGAACAGTAATTTTGGAGACTCTGTCTATTTTGTAGGGCCCAAGGATTTCATTTATGTCTAAATCTAAGTAATCAAATAATTACTTTTTATAGAAATCCAAGATGGCCACCAAAATAGGTACTGAAATGAATATGTAACTATTGATCTAAGCTCAAAGAACAGTTAAGGAAAGTGATTTTGGAGACCATGTCCAGGTTTAAGAGGCCAAGAATATCAATTTTGTCTATAATTAAGTCATAAAATAATTCCTTTATTTTGATATCCAAGATGGCCACCAAAATGGCTCCAGAGTCACGATTTTGAGGACTGATTAAAATGTTTATCTTCATCAAACTCTTTCTGGTATATTACAGGGTGTCCCGAAAGTATGGGAGCCCCCCTAGGCAGACATATACCAATATCTCCATGGTATGTGTCATATATCATTTTAAAGCTTATCCAAAGTTACATTGATTTGCCAAGTATCATGGTTCAACTCACAAATGGTAAAAAGGACAGGTGTTAATATGGCCTAGGGAGACAAATCGTCTATTATTTTGGTGTAAAACTGACTTTAATTTTGGCTAAACCCTAAATTTTGAAATACCTATAACTTTTCCCATTTGTTAGTTGAACCATGATATTTGGCAAATCAATGTAACTTTGAATGAGCTTTAAAATGATATATGACAAATACTATGGAGACATTGCCAGTGTCTGCCTAGGGTACACCCTGTATACACTTGGCTTTGAGGAATTTATTGTGCTTGAACTTCTCCATCCAATAATCTACTTCTTCCTATGGGCAGTCTACTTCTTTCTTTAGTCAATGTTTATGATACTGAGCCACCACAAAACTAAGGGAAAAGAAAGCAAATTACAGTAATATTGCTAATGCGATGATCATAATATTTTATTTCGCAAATGTTCATGTAATTGTTTGTTCTTATTTGGCATCCATCTTGAATTCAGATTTTAATCAGATTGTTTCATGGCATAGCTCTAGATAACTGAAATTCTTGACCTCCAAGTAAACATTGCTTCCAAAACTATTGTTCTTGGTGATCTATGTGGTTAAATGGATAGTTATATGAATTCATTTTGGCAGCCATTTTGGAGGCCATCTTGGATATCCATATAAATAAAATGTTTGTTGATTTGAAAAAATAAAAATCATTGACCTCACAAACTTAAAATATCAAAAATTAATGTTCTAACTCCTCTATATGTTTGGATAATAAATCTTATTTTCACTTCGGCAGCAATGTTGGAAGCCATTTTGGATCCAAAGAAAGGAATTAGTTATATATATTATTAGTCAGGGTGGTCAAAAAAAATGGAAACCCTGCATTTTCTTTATATCTTTGTCACTTTAAGGACTTACTCCTTGATATTTCACACATGTGTACATCATTCAATTTCCTACCACCCTACCATCAGACTGATAGTCACAATTTTACAGCACTTTGAATAACATGCTTCAGATTTGGCCATTATCGCGCTGTAGGCAAAACAGCACAGTTGCCAATGACCCGAATGCATTCCTCTGCAGGTATGGCCTGAATGACACAAATGATCTCACTTTTGAGGTTTGCAATTGTCCTGAGGTCATTCTCATATACTCTATCTCTGCCATATCCCCAAAGGTAGGGACATTTTAGATGATGAGTAAAGGTTTCCCCACAGCGCAATAGTGGCCACTGGGCATGTTCTTTAAAGTACTGTAACATTGTGACTATCAATCTGATGGTCATGAAATAAAGTAGGCTGGTAGCAAATTGAATGATGTACAAAAGTGTAAAATATCAGGGAGTTATCTTTTAAAATGACAAAGATATGAGGAAAATGGTATTAGGGTTTCCATTTTTTTGACCACCCTGTAGTTTTAGACATAACTGAAATTCTTGACACCAAAAATCTTGGCATGGTCTCAAATTACTGTATAAACTGTTCTTTGAGCTTAAATCAACATTTACTTGTTGTTGGCACCCATTTTGGTGACCATCTTGAATTTCTATGAAAAGCAATTATTTGATGACTCAGATTTAGACATAAATGAAACCCTTGACCCCTAAAACCTAGACATTGTCTCCAAAATTACTGTTCTTAACTGTTCTTTGAGCTTTAAATCAATTGTTAAATATTCATTTTGGCACCCATTTTGATGGCCGTCTTGGATTTCTATATAAAGTAATTGTATGATGACTTAGATTTAGACATAAGTCAAATCCTTGACCCTTAAAACCTAGATATGGTCTCCAAAATCACTGTTTTTAACTGTTCTTTGAGCTTAAATCAATAATTACATATTTCATTTGGCATCCATTTTGGTGGCCATCTTGGATTTCTATGAAAAGTTATTATTTGATGACTCAGATTTAGACAAATCTAGATAAAATTTAGATAAGTCAAATCCTTGATCCTTTAAACCTAGACATTGTCTCCAAAATCACTGTTCTCTGCTCAACTGTTCTCTGAGCTTAAATCAATCAGTTAAATATTCATTTTGGCACCCATTTTGGTGGCCATCTTGGATTTCTATATAAAGTAATTGTTTGATGACTCAGATTTAGACATAAATGAAATCCTTAACCCCTAAAACGCAGACTCCAAAATCACTGTTCTTTGAGTTTAAATCAATAGTTGAATATTCATTTTGGCACCCATTTTGGTGGCCATCTTGGAATTTTATTTAAAGTAATTGTTTGATGACTTAGATTTAGACATAAGTCAAATCTTTGACCCTTAAAACCTAGATATGGTCTCCAAAATCACTGTTCTTAACTGTTCTTTGAGCTTAAATCAATAGTTACATATTCAATTTGGCATCTATTTTGGTGGCCATCTTGGATTTCTATGAAAAGTTATTATTTGATGACTCAGATTTAGACATAAATCAAATCCCTGACCCCCTAAAACATAGACATGGGCTTCAAAATCCTAAGTGATCCTTGAGCATTAACAGTAGTAACATATCCGTTTTGCACCCATTTTGGTGGCCATCTTGGATTTCGATAAGAAACAATTGTTTGATGACTTAGATTTAGACATTAATGAAATCCTTGACCCCTAAAACCTAGATATAGGTCCTAAAATCACAGTTTTTGCATCTCAGTATGCTTAGATATACCCACTCTTATATTGTGACACGTGCACTGGCGGCCATTTTGAAAAATGGGCAATAACACCCATTTAGCTACAACTGTTACAATGCTATCACATATTTTCTTACTCTAGAGGTCTTAACCTTCCCAAAAATCACTATGGCGATTATTCCCCTAATTGGATACCGACCAACCCCCTAAGCTGATCGCCTATGCGGCCTGTATCCCTTTTAAACTTTGAGAGATAAATGTATTTTTAAGGCTGACATTTAAGTGGCCTGATATGATAGCAATTACAGTACTATGTAGGTTAAAGTGTAACAGTTTTGTCAAAAGTCAATCTACAGTACTATGTAGGTTAGGGGAGGCATCAAAAGTTCAATGTCTGATAGGAAACTAAATAAATCTAGTTTGGGGGGGAGGGGGTCAAAGCTATTTCAGTTTGCTATCCGACAAATTTCAACATTTAAATTTTTCCCAATTTCGACTCGAAATGCCTTGGAATGGTTTAAAAATAAAGACTTTACCAGATGCCTTCTTCACCAAGATGCATGGAATATTATGCCTATTGTTGTTGGCACATGTTTTAAGAATCATAAATAACTTATAGTACTGGCCCCATGAAAGTCCAAATTGAGTCGCTAAAACATGTGAAAAGTCCGCGATCAACTTTCATTGTATTTAGTTTTGAGGGGGAGAGAGGGGGTCCAACTCAAAACTAGATTTATTTAGTTTCCTATCAGACATTGAACTTTTGATGCCTCCCCTTAACATGTAACATTTGGGTGATAAGTCAATCTATTGGAAGGTCAAATCACAACGTGCACAAACTTGAAGTCTAGCTGACTCTCTGGCAGTTTTCAATGGCAGAATACAAACTCTACTATTTCTATGTTAGAGGTAAGATATCTATTCATTTTTAGGAAAAACTTATTTCTTCATAACATAATCTGCTAAAGTTCCTCAAGGTTGAGAGCTCTACACCCACCCAGATATCATTAAAAGGACCCTTATAATGCATAATCTGCAGAGAAAAAAACTTAATCAGACAAACAAGGTCACTCAATTTTTTACACTTTGGCTGCCAGACTATCACATCACATTTTATAAATTCTTTAGTGATTGTATAAATCATATTGGGGGCAATTTTTTTTATTTCTTCAATGTGATTGAAATTTTGATTTTTGCACATGACAAACTTAGACTAGTTGCTCACAATATTATAAGTTCAATATTAAGTCAGATTTGAACTTCTGGAAGTTGTAGATGGTTTCGAAAAAAAATTGGTCGATTTGAAGAAAGCTGAAAAAAGACCTTTTTGACCTTGAGAAAAAAAACAAAAATTGGGCTAGGGGCTCTTAGCTAAAACCGATGGATTTACACTCGCTTGTAAAACGTTTTAACACTAAGACGTCTTGGCTCTGACTAATGTCCTAGAACGTTTTAGGTAAGTGCTCTTAGCCGAGAGCTCTTGAGAAAATCTGGATTTACATTACATTGTAAAACGTACGATAAAACGTTTTAGCCAAGACATCTTAGGATTGTAGTGTAAATCCAACAAATGTACAATGTAAGTTAGATCTAAAACATCTAGAGAAATCATGAACTACAAACTAAAATGGATAGATTTTAAGTATACCTTTTCATGACCTCTTATATCTTAAAGATGAGGATAGATCAGTGCAAAATATTTTTTCATTTGAAAAAGATTAGGCACATGTTTTTTATTTGATCCACAAGGTTCTGCATAACTTGCTTATTCATAAACTTTAATCTTATGGAATCTCAGGAAATCTCTTAAAAGGAGCACGTAGGTTATCGCAAATAATTTCAGATGGTTATATCTTGGATTATGAATATTTTCTAAGAATGAAGTATATCTTTTAGATCTATTCATTAATTATATACAGTAATAATAAAATCAAACGAACTTGGAGATATTTAACTAGCAATTAACCCATCAACACACTTTTCAAAAATGTTGACCTCTTTTTCACCAAAAATTCTATCATTTTTTACAATGTTTAATGCATTACTATTCTTTATTTTAATGTATCTAATATTTCTTGAAACAAAAACTTAATTGCTTTAAGATTAGTGTTCCCAATGTTATTTTTCCATGGAAAAAACTCATGCTATCCATTGGTTTCATCTCATTTTGGTCCTCCAAATTCATTATCTTTAAAGTCCCTGGAGCAATCCATTTTTCCTCCTAGGAAATAGAACATGTCTCAAAGCACATTCTAATTATGCATTCAACAATATAATAAAAGGTTACATTTTTGGTGAAAATTAGGTCAACATTTTTGAAAAAGAATGTTGATTGGTCCATTGCCCCTTCAATATGACTTAGGTCTGATTAACAAAATTATCATTATATATACTTTTCTTGAAGATAATGAATGAATTTAAAAGATACACCCATGTTTATGATAAAAAAACATTCATAATTCAAGCTAGAATTGTTTGAAATTGTTTGCGATAACCTATGTGCTCCTTTATCAAATCATATTTAACTAATGGATCATCTTCTTCAGCATCACCAGACAACTATATTAACACCTCAGTCCCTCAAGGAAGTATCCTGGGACCTTTGGTCTTCCTGATTTGTATCAATGATCTTCCAGAAAACAAGAAATTATTCTAAATCATGCCAGATCAGATCTCATTCTCAAATCACAACTTAAGGCCCACAACTGGACAACTGTTGACTCTCCAAACTGTGAATATGGAGCGCCTGAGACTTTCCGCCATTTGTTTTTTAAATGCCCATTGAAAACCAAACAAATTCTTAAATTGAATAGAGATATTGAACTTATCACTGGAAACCAATCTCAGTTCAGGACCCAGATGGACAAAATAAACCTTTACTTATTTGCTCACCCTTCACTTACTCAGGAACAAATTGACAATCTGTTATCAGTGGTGAGTTTATTTCTTATTGAGCATGCATAGATACATGTACTTGAAAGCTTGTCTACTATTGTTCTCAGCCTTACCACTCCTATCTCTACTGCTCTTCTCCCCATGTTTCATTCTCTTACATTTTACTGTAGTATCATGAAGTCTTCTGCACAAAGAAGGTACAGATCAGTCACATGTTTTAGTCATTGGAGACTATGGCGTGAACCTCTTTTCCCTACTCACATTACTATATCTTTGTTTCCAGGACCATACAGGCAGAGGCAGCAGCCCCCCCCCCCACACTCCAATTAAAATGCAGATACTTTTTTTTTTTTTCTTCTAAAATATAACGGTGTATAAACCATGTTTACAAATTATAATTACCACATTGAGGGACACCAATAATGCCACTGGCGATTGGGTTCCTCATGTATAATATGTACTTATAATGATTAATGACAATAAAATCTCTTGATTTAAAAAAATTGATCCACATAACATATTTGATCAAACAAGTTAATATAAAACTCATCACTTTAATACAAAGTACTCATCACTTTAATCTAAAGTACTTAGAAAAATCGAAAGCCATATAGGTCAGGTCTGTAGCCAGGGTGATATCTTCTAAAAAATGTGGATTCATTCATAACATGATAATGTATCAAGTTTTGTGATTGCTTAAATATGCATTTTTCAAAACAGGTAAGGGTCAAGTGATCAGATATGTCCTTGAAGATAATGATGTCTCGTTCGAGGATATAGTAGTTCCATTGTGGTCAGAGAAGATAAAGCAACGTTGTCTTAGCGACCAGGGATTTTACATCGAAGAAGTTTTAAATCCTAAACCGGACTGGCTGAGCAAAGAATGGCAGGAGTTGAAACCAAAAACTGTAAGTTACGAATTACAGGGTGGTCAAAAAGTTGAAATCCTGCATTTTCTTCAAATTTTTGTCATTTTAAGAAATTACTCCCTAATCTGACACATTTGTACATCATTTAATTACCTACCAGCCTACCATATTTCATGACCATCATACTGATAGTAACAATGTTAGAGCACTTTGCACAACACTCTTCAGATTTGGCCATCCTTGCGCTGAAGGCAAACCTGCACAGTTGTCAATGATCCGAATGCATTCCTAAGAAGGAGGAATTTTCCAGATTGTTTCAAGTGCCTTTTTATTTTCAAAATTGTTGTTTTTCTCATTGCAGACATTTGGTCAACTACCCTACCTTACTGGCCCAGATGGACTGGAGCTATCTGAATGTTATGCCATATTGCGATATTTTGGACGCAAACTTAATCTCTATGGCAACAATGATATCGAGGCTGCCAAGATTGATATGTTACTAGAGCGTGAACATCAAACATTGGTTGGGGTACTTATATCATTGTTAGTAAGTTGCTTATCATACTAGAAAAGAAATCTGCTCTAGAGTAAGCAAATTCCACCAATCAAAACATATTTTATCAAGTCCCTCATTTTCATCATTGCATGAGAGCAACCAAGAAGGAATAGACGAGACAACTACGACAACCTCCTAAGTTCAATATTAAAAATGAAATACGAAAATCTACCCTTTGCATTCATTCGACTTCGCTTCTCAAAAGAGAGCTTCATCTTCACTCTTTCAGTTTTCAATAAATCTCTGAACTCAACAAGCCAATCAGAGCTAATTGGAATAAATATTAATCAAATGTAACCAGAACTATACCCAGCTATGTATTTTACAGACAAAACAAGATGATGCTGCAAGGATAGAGAATACGAAGATATGTGATACCCTGGCAATATTTCAGGTATGATTGCTCCTATCATGATTAAAACTATCACCTCATCATTTATTTCCAAGGAATTTTAGTTCTTCTGAGCAAAGAAAACAAAGTTCACTTCATTTTGAATGGCACATTTTGAGAGAATATTTTGGGAATAACAATATTTAAGACTAGCACTAGTGTGAAAGAGGGATTTTCTTACAAGGCTCTGTTCCATAAGAGTGAGAATCAATATTTGATATCCAGTAAAATTATAGTCTATTACATTGTAAAAAAATATTGGAAACTTTTTTTAGAATCTTCTGGAAAAGAATAACAAAGGAGAAGGCTACTTTGTGGGAGATAAGATCTCTATTGCAGACTATGCCATGTTGGATCTCCTAGATGCCTGTACGAGTCTCTCAAGCACAATGCTAGATGCCTACCCAACACTGAAGTCATTCTATAACCGCATGGCTTCAAGGGAAAAGATTGCAGCGTGCAAAGCCTCAGAAAAGTACAAATCTTTCTATGTTACTGGCAATCTTGGACGAAAGTAGATTGATATAGAAACAGTATCTAAGTTGCAAACATGAACAGTTCAAATTGTTGCCAGAAATGCTATCATTGTAATCGAAATGTGAACAAATCTTAAAGATTTGAAAATATTCCAAATAGTACTATGGCTCAAATGTGAAGTGATTTCAGTCAAATTGGCAACCATATTTTGGACATCTTGTGATAATTATAATGGAATTAAATGATAGTTTTTAGTTATTAAGCTCAATAATTAGTTTTCTATGAGAAACCTGTGACAGATGGGTATGGAATTGCAATAGCTCACAGTGTGAGCTAAAAATAGTGATTGTAACAATATATCGCCACTTCTTGGTGGAATGACATAATAACAGGATAATATTATTTATGTACAAAATTTTGGATTATATGCAAAATAAAGGAGATGCTTTTTAAACAATTTTTGAGATTAATCAAGTTGGTTGTATCTACCTAGGCTTAAATTTACTTAACAATAAAGAGTGTATTTTTGTATAAAAATCTTCCAAACATCATTCTGCTTCAGATTCAGTCATAAAAAGTGGGTGTCACCAACTTGTTTTTTTGCTTAAAGCTAGAAAACATTGATGCCCCATGTTGCCCCATGTTGGGGTATGGACGAGTAGGGGATTAGAAGGATGGCTTCTCAAAAACTGAACTATCAATTTATTTTATTTTTGCACATATGATAGGTCAATCAACCAAAGATAATTATAGGTCACTGAAAGGAAAGTAAAGAGTTCTATAGACAAGGCATTAACATGACAAAATGTCACCACCTAGTTGCTCTAAATATCATGAGTTCAATCTTAAGTCACATTTGAACCTGAAATTTGAAAGTCCTTTTTGACTTTTACCGAGAGAAGGTCATTGAAGGTAAAATCTTAAATTTATAATCAGATATGAATTTCTGAGAACTTGTAGATGATTTTGAAAAAAGATTTGGTCAATTTGAAGTAACTTGAAAAAATACCTTGAGAAGGTAATTGAAGGTCAATCTCAAATTTTAATTCAGATTTGAACTTCTGAGAACTTGTCCTTTTTGACCTTTTTCACCCTCATAGAAAGTCAAATCTCAAAGCTTAAGTCAGATTTGAACATCTGAGGACTTGTAGATGATTTTGAAAAAATATGAGCCAGTCTGAACAGTATTTGTTCAGTTACTGAACGTTGAAAGAATTTGTAACAGATGCCGGACACCAAACGCCATTACACACATCGGTCACCAACAGCCATTACAAAAAACAGAGACCATAAAAATATGTCATTTCTTTTGGTGGTGACATAAAAAGTCAAGAAAGCTATTCATATACATCTGGATAAACCAACTCTGAATAGAGATTCAAGACTCATAGACAAACCGTTGCTAGAAACAGTGAGGCCAAGGTTAGGTTCAAGACCAAGGTCAATAACAGCAGCGTTGGCGAGGAATCAAACAATAGAACATTACTGATGAAGGATGCAGTTACATTTGAAAGCTCTGACAATCTAGTTATTTATGGTTAGTAAAGAGGAGTCCTCAGTTAATACAACTCAATTCAATACAAGAAATAATAATGATGTGGAAGAGCATTAACTTTGAGCAACTTAAAATACACTTTGATTTGACCTGGATTTTAAGTTTTGCCTCTAACATTGTAATACTGTTTTCCACTATCATTATCAATATCATGTCTTGTACAAAGTTACACGACATTAACTTTAGACAGATAACACACATATCTGTAAGTGTAACACAAGTTATAGTTTGTATAATGATTTAACCTACTGGTTACCTACCGACTCACAGACAGTTATCATGGCAGAATACAAACTATATTATTTCCATGTTAGAGGTATGATAACTATTCATTTTTAGGAAAAACTATTCATTCATGACATGATAATTAATGTAACAAGTTTTGTGAGTGTTTTAATCTGTCTATATGAAAAAAAGCTTGATAAATGTGCATTTTTTCAAAACAGGTAAGGGTCAAGTGATCAGATATGTCCTTGAAGACAACAATGTCTCGTTCGAGGATATAGTACTTCCAATATGGTCAGAGGAGATAAAGCAACGTTGTCTTAGCAACCAGGGACTTTACAGCGAAGACTTTGCCAATTTCAAACCAGACTGGCAGAGCAAAGAATGGCAGGAGTTGAAACCAAAAACTGTAAGTTACTAAATATTTTCAAACTTTGTCAAGTTTCCTTGCTTTAGAAGTAGATATTTTAAAAGGCTTTTCAAAACTCTACAAAGGGCGGCCAAATGGCAATATATTCAGGTCTTCTGTGTAGGGCCTTGAAGTAATATTACAATGATAACAACATTATTACTGTATCTCAAATTCTAAAATGTGATTCTTAAGGGTAGATCTTTCTAGACATACCATACGCATACATAACTTTAACCTGTAATGAAATATCATAAGCTGTTGAATAAAAAAATACAATTGAGGGTGTTCTTGACGAACTTGAGAGATATAATTCACCACTGGGGTTGGACAATAAAGTTTTTTTTCTGATCTGCAATATTATAACCAGTAGCTTCAATACATGTATATTTCTTCAACTTATCATCATTTTAATTCTTGTGTTTGTTTCAACTGCCTTTTTTCATTGCAGACATTTGGCCAACTACCCTACCTCACTGGCCCAAATGGACTGGAGATTGCTGAATGTTATGCCATATTGCGATGTTTTGGATGCAAACTTAATCTCTATGGCAACAATGATATTGAGGCTGCCAAGATTGATATGTTACTAGAGCGTGAAAATCAGACCATAACTGAGATATTCAAATCATTATTTGTAAGTTGTTTATCATACAAGACAAAAAAACAGCAACCCCCTGGAGTAAGCAAATCCCACCAATCAAAACACATTGTATCAAACAACTCTTTTTCTTTTTTTTTTTTTTTTTAAATTTTTAAAATATTTAAAAACATATTGACTTCTGTAATATATTCTTACAAAGTATATTTTACACATTCACTCCATTTCACACACATCCTTCTTCATTCATTCCATATCATATTATCATTTTCTTTACAGTATTTTAAATACATTTCGAATTTTTTGTACACTGGTAGTTCTTGTAGCATTTTTTGATTATACAAGAAGTATTTTGCAATAATTATAATCATATTTTCGTATTTGCTCCATTTTTTTGAGCCAAAGAGCACATTGTTTAAATCAGAATATTTGAGTTTTTTCAAAATGTGTTGCTTAACACTGTTCCAAAACTGATTTGTATATTCACAAAGATAAAACAAGTGATCAATCGTTTCAAATGCAGTATGACAGAATTCGCACATCGGCGATTGTATTACATTATATTTAAATAGATCATTATTTGTATATAAAATGCAATTTATAAGTTTAAATTGAAAAGCCCTGTGTTTAGAATACGTTAAAATGTAATGATAATATGTATAGTAAAAATTCCAGTCTTCTTCGTTTATTTCATATTTCATACTAAGCTTTCCTTTCGCTGTTGGTTGTTCAACAATGTGTGACAATAAAATAGAATAAAATAATTTTGATGTACATTTGTTAAACTGATATATATTTTTTCCATGTACAATATCAAAATTACAGTGTTTTACATCAAAATTGACATTATTTTCAAATACATTATTTCTTATAAGCCAAGTTCTTGGGATGGCTTTTACAATATTATTGATTTCTTTAAGGTATCTATCTGGTGTATCTATGACCGAACAAATAAAATTGAATTTTGATAACCCAAATGCTTTCACAATTTGTATTTTCCCTATTATTGTTAGTTGTCTAGTTTTCCACAGGTTAAGAGTTTGTTTTAAGTGATTTATCACAACTCTAAAATTTTGCTCATATTTCTTGGTTTCATCATGGTTAAAGAAAACACCCAAAACTTTTATTTCTCTAACCTGTTTAAGTGCACTAATTTCCCAAGTTTCATTTTTTGATTTGCCAATAGTGAAGAGTTCAGTTTTTTCTAAATTAGTTTTCAACCCACTACAATTTTCGAAGTCTTTTAGCACTCTCATAGCTTGGTGTACAGATTCTTTATCTCTTACAAAAAGTGTCATGTCATCTGCGTAATTACTAAGTTTTATCCTTATCTTCCCCAATTTTGATCCCTTTGATTGAATGATCATCTCTTATTGCTTGTGCCAGAAACTCTACTGAGAGAATAAACAGTATCAAACAACTCATCATTTTCATCACAACATCATAAAATCTACCAGAAAGTTATAGTTCAGGGGGATGAATTCATTTAATAAAATATAAGAAATTAAGGACAATATTGAAAGTTCAATATAGCCCCACACTATTTGGTGGGGACATAAAATGTAAATATTATAACAAATATCATTTAATAATAAACCATAACTACTCTATGTATTTTTAGGTTAAACAAGAATATGTGATGCCCTGGCAATATTTCAGGTAGATTAATTATATTGTTCTTACTTAATAATCACATCCTATCACCTCATCATTTATTTCCAAAGATTCCTCATTATGAATGCATCATGCTAATGGCCTAGTCACATAGCCCGGGCGATGTCCGGCATCGGTAGAGCTCGGTGGATTTTTTTGGTGCCACCGAGCTCTCCTCATCGGAAGCAGAGCTCGGTGACGTGAACGGACTCCGTCCAGACATCTTCAGGCGACCGACCGAACACCGGCCGGTGACCGTACGGAGTCTGTCTCAAAATGGTAGTTTTTTTCTGCCGATGTGGCAGCAACTACCGGCCGGAGGTCGGCCGGACATCGGAAGGAATACAGCCGGTACCCGAGCAGGTAACAGGACACCGTGCGATCGCCGGCCGGGTTGTTAACGGGCTTTGAACAGTGACCGGCCGATGCTCTGTCCCACATCGGCCGGAGCTCGGTCGGAGCTCGGCCACTGTCCGTTAAAAGAACTCGTCCTCTGGTTGTCTCAGATGCACGGGACACCGGCCGATACTCGGCCGTGCACCGGCCGACGTGTTTTCCGATGTGGTTACGATGGGGCTGCGATGACATGATGAGGGAGCTCGGTGAGAGCCCGGTGAAATTTAACTCTGAAGTTAAAATTTCACCCAGCTACCACCGATGAGGTTTTTAAGCAACAAACGCCACGGATGTCCGGCCGGTGTTCGGCCGAGTTCGGTGAAAATTGCATCGCTGGCTCATCGTAACCTCATCAGCCGGGCTATGTGACTAGGCCATAACAATTGCAGTTCTCCCAAGGAAAGAGGTCAGAGTTCACTTCATTTTAAAAAACAGGCTGACACTAATTTGAACAACATAGTACTTTTTCAAAGTGTGATAAAAAACATTAAATACGCCTTAATTGACATAATGAAAATTGGCATATTTAGACAGATGTGGGAAATACACTATTTTAACATGAATGTAAAAGAGGGATCGACTGATGGAGGGATTATTTCCCAACTAA